GTGAAAGCCGATCCGGCGATCCACAGCGCAAAGTTGATGTTTTTCCTCAGCGTCCAGCACGGATCAGCTCCAGGCATGACGAAGCAGATATCGTCCTCTTTTGGAAGACCAAACAAAGTAGTTTCGCTTTCACAACGAAGCACACAGCGTCTTTACGACATAGCGGCGGAAACAACAATACTACAGCGAGAATAAAAGTTATGCCTTCTTTCTTTGCGTGAACATTTGGGCGGCGTTATGCAAATCTTCCCACATAGCGACGTAGATATGTGGGGGCGTGTTAGAACGAGCCATTTTAGGTAGGCGTGGCTGACTCTTAACTTTTATAAAGAATATCTCTTTGGATTTGAGACTTTAGTCTTTGCAACTTTACAGATCTTCTTTATGCACCAAGAGCTTGTAACACTCCAAAGAGAAAGGAAAAATTGAAATCGCATCATATGACCCCTTTAAAAAATAGTCATTTTTAGTCATTTAGTTTTAGTCATTTTAATACTTCAGCTTATGTCAGTTACTTACCAAGGCAACATTTTTTATTTTCGTTTATTGTTCTAAAGCTTTTAATTTAATATTTATTTTATTTCAGCTTTATTTCAATTAAATTTTTTAAAATTATTATTTGATACTATTAGTTTTAGTTACAATAACAACACTGATTATAAGCTGATTTAAGTCCCATCTCAAACTACAAGAAGGCTAAATATTTTACATACTGTATTATGCTATTTTTTGTATATTAGCTAATAACTAAGCAATCTTTTCTTTCAATTACTGTACCCCCATAGCTTTTGCAGTCTGCCATCAGCGTTCACCCAGATTCCGTAGAAAAGACTATCGATGATATAATGTCCCTGAAAAAGATCAACCTTGACACTAACCCACAGTAAGGATCCCATCATTTGCTGATATACTGTGTGCATTTACAGATAACTCTCTGTAAGGTCTTACTTTTTGAGTACATACACTGTATTTCTTTTCTTCTTCCAGGCTTGGCATCTCTCTCCAGGCTTGCCTGCTTCAGATCGTGGGTTACCGCAACCTAGTAGTGGAGGTGGAGAAGCTGCGTAGAGAGCCGTATGACTGTGAAAACCCAGCACATGAGGAGATGCTCGTGAAGGTATTAGAAGTAACTGACTATTAGCAGTTGCCAGCCTTTTGATGGTTGTTTCTAATAACTATATTATAGGCAGTTACAATTCACAATGTAGCACAGCCTCTCGGCCATAACAGAATTGTCCTTAATAGTGATGCCTTTCTCTTTTCACTCACCAGCTGTGGAAGGAGCTCCGTCCTGATTCTCCTCTCTCTGGGCGCATCTCAAAGCAATGGTGTGAGATTGGTTTCCAAGGAAACGACCCCAAGACTGATTTCAGGGGCATGGGTCTCCTGGGCTTGCACAACCTACTGTGAGTAGAGAATCTGCTGAAGTGAAATCAGGACAAAAACATTCGATCTTTATAGTCATTTAAATGCATGTACTTAAGTGAAATTTTGTTATCTATGTCATACCTGGGGCCGTTTGCATAAACTGTTTAGACTAGTCTTAAAAAGTTAGTCATCTATTTTTTTTCTTCAAGACTGGTCATAGCTTTTTAAATTCAGTTATGAAAAGGTAGATTGGTCTTGTTTGTATTGGAAGAGTAAAACTGGTTACCCTTGGCAACTGCTAGTTGGTCAAACAAGTTCTTAAGACTCGGGGCGAATTCCAAACGGCTTTTTTGCGCCCTTGAAGGGCACTTCGGGAAGGGGACGCCATTTGTAGGGACGTTCCAAACGAAAGTGAACAAATGAATCCCTTCGCGAAGGGCCCTTCCAGAAGTCCGTTAGCGAAAGGAACATGCGATGGTCACTTCCCGGAAGTGATTTCCATTAGTGATCATGTGATCTTCAGTTAGGAGATCTTGCGACGCTTTTTAAAGCAGAGTTGTGGTTGATTTCGACACAAACGTAAGTAGAATAGGTTAATTAAATTTGTCTTTATTTTAATGTAATACAAAATATTTTTCATCAGAAATATTATTTAAGTTGATAGTGTAAGCAAGTTTAAGTTTAGTTTGAAAAAGCTTAATAGTAAATAAGACACAATTAGACAATATTTGAATAAAATAACAATGAGAAGAAATATTTATTTGCAACAACAGATGGAGTGCTGAATGCTGCACACATGCGCAGCGTTGTCAAGGTAACATTTGGTCAGTCATTCCCTTCGCCAAGGGAGTTCCAAACGCTTATACGAGACAGTAATGCCCTACACCCTTCAAAGAACACACTTCAAGGACTCTGCCCTTCGAAGGGAGTAGGGCATAGGGATGCTCACTTCCGTTTGGAATTCACCCACAGTCTTAACATGGTGGCTAAGTTTATGCAACTGGCCCCAGATCTTTCCAAAACATAGTGTGCCTTTGCTGTCTAGTAACTACACAGGCAGCTACATATGAAACATCTTAACCATCATGGAACCTCATAAAAGACCAATTTGAAATGCTCTACATAGGCTTGTGCCTTTAAAATTGCAATAGATTTTGACATTAGCATGTTGCTAAGCTAACAACACAATATCTTAATAGGCTAATATTAAATACATAACTAACATTATATAAAATAAACTAGTTGACTGAACTAGCTTTTATCAGGTAGCAATAGACTTTGACATTAGCATGTTGCTAAGCTAACAACACCATACTCTATTAAGCAATTAATACATAACTTACATTGGGTAAAATAAGTTTATGAATTACACTGAACATGTTTTCATCAGTTAGCAAAAGATTTTGATGTTAGCATGTTGCTAAGCTAACAACACCATACTCTATTAAGCTATGAATACATAACGTACATTGGGTAAAATAGGTTTTTAATTTACACTGAACTTGTTTTCATCAGTTAGCAAAAGATTTTGTTGTTAGCATGTTGCTAATGTAATAACACCATAGTTAAAAAGCCTATATAACATACATTAGGTAAAATACATATATTTTTAATTAAACTAAACTAGTTTGTATCACTACTTTTTACTAATGAATGAAATAAATGTATTTATAATCAATATTTAGTTTGCCTTAGATTTTTCACTGAGATTGTTGCAATGCCTTAGCAGTTGCCTAGCTTTTGAAACACAGTAAGCGCACTTACTGTATGTGGCTTTAAAATGCAGTCTACATAGGCAACTCACTAGTTTTTTGAACAGAACAATTCAATGGCTAATTTTCCTCTTTTATTTGCAGGTATTTTGCAGAGCATGACAAAGCCACCGCTCTCCAAGTTCTTCATGACTCCCTGCAGCCCAAACACAGGTCAGATCCTTTAGATAGTGCTCTTAGGAGGTTACTATGTACACTCTACTGTATGCACTCAGTTATGATATATTTTCACATCCAAAACAGTATCATTGATGGGCTTTAAGACACATTTGAGCTTTAAACACACATTAGCAAAAACACACCAAAAGCAACACACAGCATCAGCATCTTGTGACAGGATGTCAATTAGGGTGTAGTTCCCCAGAAAGCTCTTATCAGTGTATTGCTTTATACTGTGTGTGCATACCATGTTTATTTTAACAGGTGATTTTTTTTTCATGCCGTGCAATCGATCACACCTTCAGCATGCATGTCACCATCATGCCACCCACACATTCCTTTTTTTCTGTTCCTGCTTCTTTTTTATTCCCATCACTGTCATGCGCAGGAACGTTCCCAAAGAGGAAGCCAGGTACTCCATCTTTTCTCCCTCTGTAAGAAATTAATTTGATCATTTTGCCTCAATCTAATGGCTGTAGTTTGATGTTGTTATTTTTTTTATCTCAAAATGTCCAACCTCACCTCACTCTAAACACAAGGCATTATGCTCCATTATAACATTGGTTAGTAGCTGTGAATGCTTTCTCTTTACTACAGTGAATCTCACATGTGTAATTGTCGTTGTTTATAGTTGACTGCATTATAGTCGCTGTTTAAGGACAATTAGCACAGGACTGAGTGGACACACTCTAACATTTTGGTTTTTCAAACAGCAAGATGAGCAAAGCTGAGTGGGACAAGAAGAAATTTGACAAAGCGATTGGGTGAGTTTAGAATATTGCAAACTATTGCATGGACTAGAACAGAAATGTTGTACTGTTTTTTTTTCTCACTTGGGCCAGTAAGCAACCAAAGAACCAGTTCCTAAATCTGTGAATGTTAAAAATAATTCTGCTGTGTGTGCAGCGCCTGAACCCTGCTTGTGTGTCAGCACTGGTGCTTTGTGTGAGGATTTGAATCAGGCTCTTCTACTTGTCATGAGCTTTCAGGATGCATTAGCTCTGATGTGTAGCATGAAGCCTGCTCAATCACTGCGCTGCTGACGTACACACACAGACACAATTAAAGCACAGAACAGATGGAATCACACACACACAAACACTGGCAGTGTCTTAACTTTTTATGATGTTTATTTACACTAAACGATGGTTTATTTTACATTGTGTTTTTTGCTGACCCAAATCTTTTGTGGCACAGATACTCCTTTGCCATAGTTGGCATAAACATCACAGACCTGGCATATTCCCTGCTAGTGAGCGGGGCTCTGAAGACTCATCTGTACAATGTGGCACCAGAGATGCCAAGTCTAGTGCACTTCCAACAGACCTTCTGTGAGTGCTATCATAATGTCACCATTGTTGTCATTGTGAAATCAACTATTGTTGTAAATTATACAAGTGAAATTATTAATAATACACATATAAAACTATTATTATTATTATATTTGTAGTCAAATTGTACAATTAAAAATTATACAATATTCTACAATTACATTATTAATTTTTTATGTAAATTATATAACAACATTTTTACAAAATAAATAAAACAATTATCTATCAATCTATCTGTATACTATAAACATACATACAATATTTGTATTTATTAATAACTTTAATTGTATAATATGTATAAAAGAAATGTCCCTAAAAGAGCATAGATAATAATAATAATAATATTTCTTCTTATTATTATTATTATTGTAGTTTAATATTTGTTATTTATGCAAATATTTATTTTTATGTAAATTATATAACTACAATTATTTAAAATAAATGAATAAAAACTAAAAATATAGCATCTGTATATCAGTCTATAAATCTGCTCTCTCATTATATATATTATTTATTATTAATAATGTTATTTATATAATTTACATAAAATGAAATTCTATAAAAGATTGTAGATACTAACTGCTACTAAAAATGATATAACAACAACAATAATAATAATAATTATTATTTTTATATTTGTGGTTAAATATTGGTTTTAAATTACACAATTATTTAAGTTAAGTTTAAGCTTGTTAAGTTTATTATATATTATATTTAAGTCTATTATAAAAAAAGATTATATGAAATAAAAAATGTAAATATGTAAATAATACTTATATTGACATTATCATTTATTAAATTTTTAATATTATTTATTTTTCTTAGGTTATCTGATGCAGGAGTTCCACAGGTTCTGGATCGAGGAAGATCCATGTGACATCATGGAGTTCAATCGCGTGCGCACCAAGTTCCACAAGCGCATCCTGAAGCAGCTGAAGAACCCTGACATGGCACTGTGTCCTCACTTCACTGCCTCTGACCTTCACCTGGTCAACCTGTAGCTTTTCATTCATCTCAACTCTTGTGACCTTTCACCATCTCATCCTTAAAGCCCATGTCTCATTACTGCCAACTGCTTAACCCGTCTCTTTCTCACGTATTCTCACACCAATGTCTCCTTCGGCCCATCCGACCAGAAGTAACTGAAGATCACCAGCACTGCTGCAGACCATGTTGATTGTATGTGCGCATGGCAACAGTGCTTTCACACTGATTGTGATATTTACAGCTATCTGAATGTGGATGGGAGAGACATCTCTCCCGATAGGACAGGGCTCCCTATCCACCAGTAGGTAGAGCTGTTGGTACATATTAGGTAAGACACTGAGCTTGTGAGAGTTTCTACCCACATTCACCGCACTAGGCTGCACTGATACCAGGCACACTTAGAAACAAATGGCCATTGTTTGTATACACTATCATATACTTTCAGAGCTGTTATATTAAAGATAACCTTTGTTTAATTATTGTAAGTCTTTTAAAGGAATATTCAAGGTTCAGTACAAGTTAAGCTCAATCAACAGTACTTTTGGTATAATGTTGATTACCACAAAAAATTATTTAAAAAAGCAAAAATCTGGTTTACAGTGAGGCACTTACAATGGAAGTGAATGGGGCCACTTTGTAAATATTAAAATACTCACTGTTTCAGTACTGTAGCCACAAGATATACGTTAACAAAATTTTAGCCTGGAAAAAATACTAACCTTTTCTGTGTAGAGTTATTTCCCATTTTATAACATTGTTGGCATGACAACTCTAAAACAATTGTAAATATGATGATTTAAACTGATCAAATAATACATACATTTTAACAGAATTCATGTGAGTGCTTTTATGAGATTAGAAGTGCTGTTAAACACTTTAAAATTGGCCCCATTGACGTTCACTAAGTGGCTCAGAGTGACCCTGATTTTTTAAATTAAAAACAAAAAAGAGAAGAGTCGACATTCATTTATGTGGTAATCAATGAGTAACCATAAACATTATCATCACCCTCATATTCTGAATCTCATTCTTCTATCATATACTTACAGTACATAGACTACTACATGTTGCCGAGAAGCAGAGCTTAAAATCAAATATTTACTTGCCAAATATGGTAAGATAATGTGTGTTTTGTGAATGTTATCATGCAGAGCACATGATTGTTTTACAAATCTATTAATGTTGATGTAAAAAAAAAAAAAAAATATATATATATATATATAAAATAAAATATGGAATGTTCCATTTTTCTGTTCTAGCACCAAAGCAATAAGTGACGTTTAGAACAGTTAGTAGAACAGTCTTGTTTTCTTTTGTGCCTCTATTGTATTATTAAGACACTAATTAGCATAATTCATGTATAACTCTAAAGTTTAGCCCTCAGTGTGAGTATTTCAGGCTTTCTTTGGTCTCTTCAGCATTTCTTTTTTAACTTTTACAGCTGTCACATCACAAATGCATGTTGCTCTTTTGTCCATTAACCCTTTAACACAATGGACGGTCACAGGGTTTGCATGATGATTTAGTTTTTGCCTGCAAAAAATTGTGTTATCAGAATGTCACTTAATTTTAATGTTGTTAATTGGTGCAATGAATGTCTATGCTACTGGCAGTGTTAAGCAGCTTCTTTTTAATAGCTATTGGTTGAACTGTGTATCCACATGATTTTGTATGTGTAAAAAGTGTCATATATTTCTCATTGCAGCACTTTTACAGATGAGACAGAAGCACTTGCTGTACATAAAGCCTTAGAGGTGGAATACATGGAAACATTATTAAAGCTCATCATTATGCATGGCTGAATGTTTATGTATTTGTAGGGTTTTTATGTTCTCTTTCACATGCGTAAATACTCTTTCCCACAAAAACAATATAGGATGCTTTGAGTTATCAGGAAATTAAATCGTTGTTCTGGGGTGCTTTATAAAAAAAATAGGCTGCATGAAATAGGCCCCACCATAGCACAGAAACTGCACTTGTTAAAATTACAAATGACTTGCTGCTTGCGTCAGCTTTCCCCACAAAAACAATACAGGATGCTTTATCAGGAAATTTATTCATAGTTCTGGGGTGCTTTATAAATCATCATACCTCCGAAAAAAAGGCTGTATGAAATGAAAAGCAATTACCAAAAAAAAAAAGAGCAATAAAACTGAAATAAAAAATAAAGCTATACAGTAATATTTATCATAATAATAATAATGACAAATTACTAAAAAGTAAACTAAAATGAAAACGGAAAATATAAAAATAAAACCTAATTGTTATACTATAATAGTATTACTGATGATACTAAATAAAACGGCCACAAACAAGTATACGTGTTATTCTGAGTTTGATCGCACGGGGGCAATAACGTTTAAGCTATATTCTCTGTCAGGACTCTCGTTCATCCTCAGATGCATTTATGCTAAAGGTTATGTTTGGAGAAAGCAGATGCGGTTACAGGATAAATTATGTTGTGCTTTAAAGAAGGAAATCTAAATAATAAGTACCCATATACCTAATGTGAAGCATTAATTATTTATAAGATTATTATTTAACATTATTATTCATAAAACATCCCCTCGAAACAGGAACACCATTATAAAACGTCAACCCAGCTGAAAAACATCTTAAATGAACCGAGGCTGATCTGCTAGTCTCCCAGACTGGCCTGACTGATCTGTTGACAGTTTTAGATGGGTTTTGTGCACTTTCAGCTGGTCAGACTGGGAGACCATCTTAGCTAGAACCAGTTTCTAGGCCAGCAAACCCGGTTTAAGGCTGGTTTAAGATTTTTCACCAGAAGACACACAATATTTAGTTGTGCGGCCAGTGATTATGCAAACTTATGAAGCAAAAGTGCTTCATATCTGAGACTACAATGCCTGTGTGATGACAAAAATACACACAAGGTGTTCAGTCTTCTAATAAACACAGGTTATGGTTTAGAAAGGATCTGTTATCGGCCCACTCATAACAGTCAAGGCCTAACGAGACATGACAGCCAATCTGACATCAGACACACTCTGTCACATGCAAGTTCCTGTTTCCCCAACACGTGCTTTATTGTGGAGAGGCCAGTGACAGCGTTTAGCATAATGTCCAAACATTTCATGACAGGGATGTCGAGAGGCATTAAGAACTCTTTTAGCATGATAACAAATAATAATAAGAGCTCAAAGCGAGACGGGGCATTACCATCAACCAATACATTTTTCACTGAACACATATTGAAGGATTTTGCTTTAGAATTACTTTATGACTGGTTTAAAATGGCTTCACTTCAAGCATTCTGTACTTTCCACCTGTGCCCTGCAATAGGGTGTCTGGAATGACTTAGGCCCAATCCCAATTCTACCCCTTAGCCCTTCCCCTTTACGTGAAGGGGTAGGGGTGTCTCAATTCTCTTTTGGTTGGAGGGATAGGGGTAGGGGTAGGGGAAGAGCCAGATAGTCCTTCAAACAAAGATTTTTCGGGACCACACTTCAAACGAAGGGGTATGAATGATCTCAGCGTAAACCGGCTTCAGGGTCAACATGGCTGCCCGAGCGAATAAAAAGACACATACATGTAAGCATTTTTGGCATTAATAAAGATTTTAACGAAAAGTAATCATTTGTTTTATGTTACATTCAATCGTGAGTTCATATTTACGGTCATGTTACTCAAAGAAATGTTTGCAAAAAATCGCTAATATTTGCTAACTAACGTCATATCATTATAGACTGCATGATAGTGCCACAACATATTTTCATGTCTGATCAGGGCGATAACCACCATAGACATTGAGGGGGGGCTAGTCCCCCCAATAATTAGAATCGCTAAACCCTTTTCTCAAATATTGCCAATTCGAGAGAGAGAGAGAGAGAGATGAAAGTTGCGTGTATGCGCGTCTGTGCGTTTCTCTTTTACTTAAAAAACAGCGATTTTATCCTCTCGTTGCTGGAAAATATAATGTAGCGATTCAGTATTTAAACTGATATTAATAAAAGTCGTGGGGCAACGTTGACACGTTTATTTTCTCCTGGATGTGTGAGCTGCGCGATCTCTGATATATATATGTGTGTGTGTGTGTGTGTGTGTCAGTAAGCAGCGCATTAATATAGAACGGTAATTAACGGCTCTAATGGCG